TGAAAATCCATATTTTTCGTTGTGTGTTAATTCTCAGAATTAAATTAACTACGACAAATAAAAACTTACCTACGTTTTAATGCACATTGATGAAGTAGTGATCGATAGTGTTTTAAAAAGAATTAACTTTATAGTTAATCGGTAGATAAATCTGTATTATTCATAAGGCACCTACAAAACAAAAAAAGCATGTCACTCATTAATGAGTTAACATCAAAGCCATTATAAGAAAACTCTATCTAAACAATTAATTTTTTAATAAATTCGTAATAAGTCTAGTTTAAGTAGCGACTGAAATGTATCCTAAAAATATTTATTTTATCTACTGTTTAAATTATGTCACAAAAACTATAATGTAACAACTGTGGTCATAACTATTATTGCTTATAAATGACGTTTAGAGCATATACGGCGGAGATCCAGTCTATATGCATCATATACTATATCTTGACACAAAGTACATTAACAATCTCAAGAATTTTAGGAATAAAATCAATAATGGATTACATAAAAGCATCACTTTACCACTGCTTTAATCCTTCGTAATGCTTAATCGATGATAATTAACACAGTGCATTGAGTTAATGATGTTCAATTTTCATTTAACACTAGTTATTGTATATATTGTACAGTTATACACACAATATAGTATATAATTGTTTTTCAGGTCGATCAATTGTTTGGCATTATTAGGCATACAACTATCAAGTACAGTATATTAGATGCACATGTTTCAGATTCTATAAAATCGATCGTTAATCAACATACATTTATAATTGTGTTATTTAATCGATTTATGTAATATGTTGATTGTATTGGTTATTTAAAAATGAATGAAAATATGGTAACATTTTCTAAGAAACATTTTTTTGTTGTTGTAAATTAGCTCTTGAGGTGTTCCGCCTTAACTAAACTCAATTCTAAAATTCTGAATACAATGTTTAAATTACCGTTAGAAATAACGCATAAATCAAGGATATGAACACTGTCAATTTGGATTATGAAATGTGAACGAGAAAAGTTTTGATAATATGAACATAAAACATAACTAAATGTTGATTTCTATTTAATTGAAAATTGATATATATATATATATATATATATATATATATATATATATATATATATATATATATATATAACGACAGTATACTTATTATAACGTTCACCACATTTGCGTATATATTATTTAAGACTGACAAACTTAAAGTCTTTACTTTCACCTCTTTATGAAAAATCTTCTGAATATATGTTGATCTTCATGCTGACTTAGTTTCCTTTAAAACTTCCTGTCTTCTCACACATTGTAGCAGTTAGACTACGGTTGAAAAACACAGCTAGACTAGATTTTGTTGGATTTTCGGTTCTGTAATCTAATAACTTAATTAATATTTCATGAAATCTGACGTTTCATTAGTAGGCTTTCGTTACTATAAGTGTTACCAGCTGATAATATATGCTGGAATTATTTGGTTGGAATGATACAAGCGATCCAAATCTTTAGTCGAGGTAACCTTACAGTTAATCTATAAAGTTCCATATCACTATTATTTTTCGCAATAATTTTTGATTAGTTTTTGTTTGGAAGTGTTTTCTTTATAATGCTTAACCGCTGGTCGTCAATTTTGCTATTTACTGAACTTTTATTAGGCTGAATTACTTTTAAACAACCCACTGTATTTGAGTTTCTATCACCATGAGATATCATGAGTTCTATTATGAACCATAACTCAGAAGGGTGTTGTTGAAAAATTCTAAACTAGAACGAAAAAATTGATCGTTCAATGTCTATTGACTTATAAAGATTCTGCAACTAGTTTCAATTCATATGGCAAAGTACTTGACTTTTGTTCATAGGGTAACTCAAATTTCTCCTTGTGATATATGGAAAAGAAGTTGAATAGATTTGTATCAATTTCGGGCGATAAACTTTTAATGTTTAATCAACCGAACACTACTAATTCTCATTTATTTATTCGTCTCAGTTTTGCTTGCTGATCAGATTTATTGCTTTTGTCAGGTACGAAAGAAAATTCACAGTTTACAGCTGTATTAAATGACTCTAACCTTCTGTACTGTTCCAATCTAATACCTGTAGAGAAAAATTTTCATTAGTATTCATGCTAAGAATAAGTATTGAATCAAAGATTGGTTTACATTAAAACATCATCATGTTTTAAAGTTTTCGAGTTCAAACGTTTCGCTATTGATATGCTTCAGAGAAGCATTATTTATTGTAGATCTAGCATGCCTACTATTCTCTGTAAATTAGTGATTATTTCTTACAGTTAAATAAAAGTTATCCCTTGTACTAGTGATGTGAACATACCTAAATCATTGTATTCAGAACACCGAATTACATTACAATAAGACTTCCCTAAATTCATATCCTGCATCTTAATTTGTATGTTGTTTCATTTTGAGCTTCTTAGATTCGAGGCTGACTGGAAACTGGTAACTACTAACTTAGAAAATTAACATTGAAACTGGTATCAAATCATTAAACTATCTAAGCATAGTCTACCAGCAGTTTTTCACGGTACAAAAATGTGGAATTCAAACCAGTATTCATAACTTATCATGGTTGTAAACAACTATCAGTGATTTTCAAAGTAGAGTTTCAGTGATACGTTAATCACAGTTGAGCACACTTAATCTACTAACGAATGACCTAAGAATTGATTTCTCAGAACTAAGAAAAAACTATTTGGAAACATAAAGCAGCTTTAACAAGTAACTCAATCCCAAGGTTGGACCTTATATTTTCAAATAAATTGAGCATTTTGTAGAAAGTTAATGATAATAACTATATTCTTATGATATCTCAAGAATATATTTATTATTATTAACTCACACATTTTCTAATTAGTAAATAATAATGGTTATGATAATAACGTTCATGATAGAAATTTAATAGTTTTATCCCATATTTAAGACAAAACTATCTGGACTAGTTCAGAACTTCCTACCATTTTTATACACATATGATCAATATCACATCATGTCACTATCGAAATTCTCAATAAAAAACAAAATATTTTCTTTTGACATAATGTAACGAAGCAATAAAGCGTTTCATTAACAGTAATGAATTTCGAAAATTATGTTTTACTTACTCATCCTTAACATTGTCCACTTGGAATAAATACTCTCTTGATCTATTTTCAGTCTTCAATCACTTATCTTATTACATAAATCGTTTAGCACTTTACCTTTCTATTTCTCTCTTATTTTCTATTCAAGTTATTTTTAACTCTAATAAACAATCGAAAAAATTCAGTTGCAAGCATTCTATGCAAATAAACATAATATTTTACAAGAACAGTTAACTGAACAAAAGTTTGGCTCTCGCTTGACTTGATTCAATCTAAACAATAGATTAGTATCGCCAGTTTCCGAGCTCGATATCAAGTCCATGAACAAAGTTTTTATAAATTAACCCTATCTAAACCACCATAGGAAATCTAAAAGCATTGGACATCTTACTCCTCTTAGTGTCTGTCTTTAACTTGACCACTATTCACAACCCTTCTATAATAATAACACCTATTACTAATTAATGACTAACATCGGATAGAAATGACTAGAATTCTCCAAAGATGTCATGGCCAGCGAAGTTCGGCCATGTCAAGTGAGACAATTTTTAAATATTTATATAGCTAAAGTCATTATTTGATACAGTTCCAACAGGCTTCTTACACAAATACGTGTTTTGTTACCACATTATATTATTTCATAAATTGGAAAGAGACCATTTTCCAATACTGAGTGAAAAAATATTTTTTATAGATTTAATTTGAAGACTTCAAGTGATATAAACTTTAAAAGTTAAATTCAAGAGTTTTAGCTTAATGGGTAATGTAAGTTTTAAATAATCAGATATGAGTCTAGTTGGTCGCACCATTTAATTTTCACACAATCATGAATTTATTGTATGGTTATGATCTAATATGCATGAAACTTATCTGGGTTCAGTTTTAATTATATTTTTAGCATGTTCGGGTATTGTAAGATTGAACTCCAGAGATATTTGTCATCTTTTAGGTCCGTCGATAATAAGCTATGTAGAACTAATCATTTAAATGATTTCAAGATGTGACGTTAATTAATGATTTATCATTTCAATTATGAAAGTTTCTGATCATATTTCTGATGCACGGAGTATTAGTATGTTCGCGACATTTTGTATGAAATCCTAATCAAACTGGAATATTTCTAAATTCATTTTTGACTTCTTGTGATTTCTGTGAATATATTTAAGCATTTCAGTCAATCAGGAATATCTGAAGAAAAAAAACCTTATTTACGTTGTTTACTCGATAAAACAGTAATCCTATCCTCGTTAGTTATTAGTTTTTCAAGTATTTCCCAGAATCTAGTGTTAAATAAATCACTATCTCGTGATTTTATAAGTGATTATTTGAATTCCAAAGTCAGCAGTACGAACTGAACTATATGATAACTTAGAATGAATTTACCATTTTATAAAGACTTTTTATCACTTAATAAAATTTGCCCTGCTAGATGATAAATTACAAAGTAGGTGTTCTGTAGTATTCATACTAATTTCAAAGAAGTTGCTATAAAATTCTACTAAAATTACAGTCTGACTAGACTGATTTAAGTAGTATATTTAAATTACCAATCAATACTGTTAGCAAATGAAAACAATACTTTTATAAAACAAACAGATTGTGTATTGAATCGAATTGAGTTGGATGCTATCAGAAAAGTGTTTTTGTAATTTTTATGCTAATTCAGTCTATTCACACCTTCATTTTATCAATCTTTCATGTGTTATGGATAAGTTGCACTTTCCATATTGTTTTATATAAGCATATAATGATTTCAAAGTTGAACAGTGACACTAAGTTGTTGATCGTGAAATTTGTTCACAGTAAACTTTTAAAAAAGCATAATACAGGGTATTCTCGTCGGAAATTTTTTTTTAAAACACGTTATTTTCAATTCTGTCTTTTCGATTACTTTTCTACTCACAGATCGCACCAAACATTCCTGTCATGGTTCCTGTCCTGTGGTAAATGGACGAGGCTATTGCTGGGGTCCAAAGCCTGAGATGTGTCAAAAAAGTAAGCGTACCAGTTCATCCCTACAGTTTCAGAAATAAATATCAGTTATTTGTTTTACAATAAACTTAAACAATGTAATTCATTCACAATTCATTTTGAGTCACATATTTTTCTGAATGACATCCAGCATATACGTCTATTTAAAGTGAACCTTAATTTTGGTATAAGTGGTATTTGTCTCTCATAATTCTTCGTGTTCTTGCAAACCGTACTGGGGTATCACTAACAAACTTAAAATAATCAGATTCCACTTTACTGAATTAACATCGATAGCATAAGTGATCACAAAAATTCACCTTTAATAAACTACAAGCAATTTTATGGCATCTTAATGTTCTTCAACTTAATACACGATTTTCACGTGATCACTGTGCTAATTATTAACAGACACAGTCACAAATCGTATGATTAGGGAAAAACTTAGTGTTTGCTTTCTTTTCTCTCAAAAACATCCTACAAATCACACTGTCATTTCTATTAGTTTAGTTATTTAAAATTTTTATTTCATTTTACATAAGAACACCTATTATATGGTCAATTTAAATAATAAACAATCTAGCAGTTGTTAAAATAACAACTGTTGGCTAGATTTTCACTTTAACACGCTAATAATGAGTGAAGATGTAAGTAAAGTTCAGTCTGATTAATTAAAACAAGAATCTTTTAGAAAACAAATACTATAATTAGATCATTGACTGAAGATGTAGTAACAATTCAGGTTTTTAAAGTTGTAAGAAATAGCCAACTTAAGTTTGAGATCAGTTTATTATTTAACAGAACATTACTTTTGATTTCATGGTACTGTAGCCTTTAAATACACATTAGTATATGTAACCTGAATAAGAAAACTACTTAATAACTCACACTACTGGAGTTTCACATTAAAATTCACTAAAACTAAAATCTGACAACCTCTTGTTAATCCTACGAATAACAAAACACGCAGTAGAACTCTATAATCAGTGATCGGGTTACTCCCCATTGCGTTATCAATATCTTTTAGTACAAACCTCTTTGAGTCACACGTAGATCGTCAGTGATCTGAAATTGAGAAGTAGGAAATTTTATCATTATTTAAAGGTGTGAATGTTCATAAACATCAAAAAACCGTTCAAAAAATAGTTCTAACCTTCATACTCAGATTCCGACTTCTACTGACTTTTAACCATGAGTTCAACGACAAACAGAACGATGTTCGACTTATAAATAAAAATAATATATTTGTAATATCCCAATGAGTAGAAAATTGGATTTTCTACTCATTGAGATATTACAAATATATTATTTTATTTATAACAATTAACCCAATGCTCAATTTATTCGAAATTATCAGATGTCCGACTTAGGTTGTGGCACATACCAGAAAACAGACTCTGATGAACTTAATTATGCCTGTTACCCACCGTAGAGGATCATAGGCGTCCCAACAACATTATCTATCAAACTCTTTCAATACTTCTCAGTTGTTTCCAGGTTTTATTCATTCTTTTGATGTCTGCTTCCTATTCCCGACGCATAGTGTTCTTTGATTTGTGTGATGCCTTTATAGTCTTCACATTTGTTCAGATCTCCTTTCTTTGATATCTTGATGAGATATCCTTCTTTCCAGTTTGTCGGCACTCGCTCTTCCTCCCTAATCTTCCTGAACAGAACATGGAACATCTTCACAGTTAGCTCTATATCTAACTTTGGTACATCAGTTGATATCTCATTCGGTCATGCTAGTTCTCCGCTCTTGGCCTGTTTGATGGCCATGCTGATTTCCGCGTTTGTTGGTGGGGTAAGGGCTATAAGAAGATTTGTATGTGCTGCTTCGTTGTCCGGTGGGTTCAGTTTAATTGGTCTACCCAGGAGCTCTTCAGAGTATTTAACCCACCTATTCCTCTGTTGTTCAATCTCAATGTTTGGTTTGCTTTATTTCTTCTTGACTGGTCGTTCTCACTTACTATATTTCCCTGCTAGCTTTTTCGTTATATCATACAATTGTTTCATAATTTATTCTCTCGCAGCTTTTTCTACTGTCACCACCAAGTCTTCCATGTATTTCTGCTTGTTGGCTTTAATGCTGCTCTTCTTTCTTGTTTGTTTTTGTGTATTCGGCCAGTGCTTTGACTTTCGCTATTCTTGTTCCACTGTTGGTGATTGCTGTAATTTTTTATCTTCCTTTCTTGAAGCTTGTCTAGGGTTCTGATAGGGACTGATTCCTTATTATGATGATTTGTGGTGCTCAGAACCTCCTGAAATGCTTAAGTTACTTTTTCTTTTGTCTCTTTCCAGTTGTTCTCTGTAGCGCTTTTCTCCCCTTTGAGTAAAGCTTGTGCGACTTGAAACCTCTTGCTGAGAGAGATATTGAATTGATTAAACTTGTCATTATTTTGAAGGAAGTCTTTATTAAGCCTTTGTTATGCTATTCCCCCAATCGTACATTACTTCTTCAGCTTCAGTTTCATCTTGGCAACCACCAGGTTGTGATCTGAAGCTATATCAACTCCTCTCTCTTTCCTCACATCTACCATGAACTTTATATATATTTTGTTGATGCAAATATGATCTATCTGGTTCTGTGTAGTGTGATCTGGTGAGACTCATGTAGCTTTATGTATGAGCTGTGGGGAATATAGTGCCGTCTATAAACATTTTGTTGAATGCACATAAATTTACCAATCTGTCACTATTCTCGTTCGTTTCTCCCAGTTGATGTCATTCCTTATATTTGCATACCCACTGTTGTTCATTCTGACTTTGGCGTTTAGGTATTCTATCAAGATGTTCAGGTCATTTCCTGGAAACTTCTCCACGTTCAACTACAGCCTCTCACAAAACTGATCTCTATCGTCTTCATTGATATCGTTGGAGGATGTATAATATTAGATAAAATTCATTGTGATTCCCCCTTCTTTGTTTTGAAGGATGCTTTGATGATTCTGGATCTATGAGGTTCCTATCCAATAATTGCTGTTCGTGCTACTTTGGATAGCATAAAAGTAACCCACAGAGTGCGTAAAGCATTTTCTATTTCGTGAATAGAATATGACAGCACCTCTCCCAAATCTAATCTTTTCAGTTCAGCTTTGGTCAAATGGGTTTCTCTGGTTACGAGCACCATCAAGTAGTATCTCCTCATTTCTGTAACTGTGTGGTTGGTCCTGGTTGACAATTTTTAGCAAGGTTGTTTTCTACGGGATGCGCTTGCTGATCCCATATTCATCTCCCTTCCATTACCCCGGCTTGAGACGGGCAGCAACCCTAGAAGATTGACGAGCGCAGTTGACTCTGATATGTTTAGTAATTATTTAGTGAAAATAAATATTTTATGAGATTGGCATGAAAAGCGTTTTCCTGATATTTTCATAATAATAATAACACTTTGAAGCTCTGTGTGCAATATTGTGACGGAAGAAAATATTTATATATTTTACGCAGAATAAACATAACTGAAATTCTTTTAAAAATTGAAATTATGTGGTTCAGAACTTGTAGGTCATTAGCCGACCGAATAATTTCAGGCCTTTAAATCAGTTTCATTTACTGTGTTTCATGAAGTCACTCACAAACGCTTGGTCAAAATCATAAATTTTTCGGCTATTTGCTATAACTGACTGAATGGGAAAACAGAATTTTACGTATACCTTACGATGTAAATTTCTTTCATGTTACATTAAAGTGGGAGTGATTAACAGGGACAACAATTTACATTGTGTGACTTTTAGGACTGAGATGTAATCACAATTGATTGATCACTGGTTGGTGATCAATGTCATATGTGTCAAGTCCTTCTTAGTGCGGATCGAATGCTATCGACCAGTCCTACAGGAGGTCGGTCGCGGCCCGGATAGCCCAGTGGTAATGTCTTTGACTGTGAAGCTGGGTGACACGGGATCGAATCGGTTAGGGAGCATCAGTTCCCTCATGATTACAGGTACACCTTACTGACCAGTGACAAGTAGCACGAAACCCGGGTCCAGGGTTTCCTGTTGACTACCTCCAACCACCATCTTAAAAGTGACTTTTATTTTATTGATTATAACAGTATACATCGAGATATGGGTTCTTTGTTATTGATTGGGTGTTGGAAACAACAAGTGGTTCGTTCAAATAAAATGATTACTCAGTATATTTACCAGTAGAGATTCAACTAGTGTAAGGAAGCCGATGTAAGTTCTTAGTGAAAACTGACTAGATAACTTATTGATGTAGAATTTTCATGACCTTTCTTAAAAAGTTACTGTGATACTAATGAATTACAATGCTTGTTTTTTTCGGTTAATTTCTGTGTGAAGGAAAACAGTTGTTCGTTGCAATCCTATCAAATTAATCATTATTATTGCGTTTGTTATTTTATATTGCAAAAGTCCTGATATTTTTACTAGACAAACATGAATAGACATGTTTCACTGTCAAAATATCTGATTAGACATTGATGTTAGTGTTTATATCTGACCGTCTATACCCTTATTAAATACGTATATTTGCTTTAATGAATGGGTGTGTGTACTTCCAGTTTTCCGTATAAATCTTTAAATACTGGAAAGTAAACATAAACGATAAAACGTTTACCGAATAAACTGTTGATTTGTTCTGATTTGTAAACTTTAACCCAAAATTTGTCAAATCAATATTGAAAACAGAACAATTAGTTTCGTTTGTGAGTTCGTTTATCAATTTTTCAATGTTCAATAAGTTTGCGGTATTCGGCTCTTTCGAGAATTGTTTTGTTAATTTAATGAGTGAGCTCTGCAATATGCGAGTGTAACTTTTGCTGGTAATTTCATTCCAAGCACTAGCTTTCACTAAGATGTAGTTTGGAATTCTATTAACTGTTAGTTGTTGACATGGTTCTATCATAATTTGTAGATTCTATAGATTTATTTTTTAGATCTTACAAGACAGTTTTGTGGTAGATAAGTCATTGACATTTGGGTGAACTGCATACAATAGTAATATCAGTGGGTGAACAATATCAAAACCCATTTGTAATATCAAGTAGAATTGTTTGATGA